CTCTTTGCCTGTTCAAAAATTATTAGTCTTCATTTCTGAAGTTCTTGCACAATGCACAGCTGAGCATCAAAAGTTAATCACCTGTTAACATCAGTAAATTGTAAATCACATCGTGGAAAAAAGCCATCTTGTTTATCACACACTGGGAGGCAAGTACACTATATACAAGGTGTGAGATTCCCCATGTTGTTATAAAAGAAACTTCTCCATGTTTCTGTTTGAAACCACTATTTTTCCAGAGCTCCATGTGACTTGCCAGTACAGGGCTGGTTACTTACACAAGTTGCAGGTCACTTCATAATTTAATACCAAGTTTGCAACAGATATAATGGATAAATAATACACGGAGATTAGCATGATACAGAGTAGGCATTTCTATTGCTCATGTCTTTTCAGCCCTTTCACACAGAGACACTGGCTCGTGACTGATCATGGGTTTCCTACAGTCAGAGACATGATCAAAAGCATGGGAAATGTCAGGAATCCTTCGTTACATCTTTGTTCTCATGTGCCTGGGAGCTGCTTTTCAGCAAAGGCAATGAGAAAATCATTGATTTAAACATGACTTTAAAGCCTGCAGTGAATAATTGGTATATGGTTGTAATACTTGCAAGGTCTTGGTCATGAATTCAATTAATATTTTTTGATCTATTTGTTCACTAAAAGGACAGTGCTGCCACAATCAACAGTAATTGCAGTCTAATTTGCAATTTTTTTAGATGATGGTAATTGCTTAAACCCACTGGGATTAGAGAAGAGGTAGAATAGATGGTTGCACTTTCATTTTGTGACAGAAATATGTTGCTTAGACATTCTCAGCAGTGAAATGTGTTGGAACTCTCTTGACATTAACTTTATCCAGTGCAAATTCTTCGGCATTGTGCCCATTTTTGTTACCTGTAAGATGATTAAAGTAGATGTGTGAGATGCCTGGGACTGTCTGTTAATACTGTGCTAATTAGGATTTTGTTGACAGGATTTTTTTTACCCATTGTGAGGAAAAAAACCACCAACCTATCTTCCTGTGTCTTCTGCAAGTTAGGATTTTTTCTGCTTTTCGGTAACCTAAGTGTGAAATTTCATTGCCCAGAAAGAGCATTTACCCAGATGCTTAGAATCAAATCTATATATTGCAGAGGGTCCAAAAGTAGGGCGGCTATGAGGAAAACATGCAATTACCACTCTCAGATGGTAGATTTTTTCACCACCAACCTGTGAAACCAACCACAAACACAGGCCTTTAGAAAGATGAATATGATATTCCATCAGCCAATTTTCTTTTCGCAGATTCTTGTCTTTTTAGGAAGAAAAAAGCCTTATTTATTGTATGTAAATCAATATAGGGAGCATTTTTTTTTGTCTTGAAAAATCGTATCACACATTGGGAACCCTCCAGACTGTAGCAGTGTGTAGTCTACACCACCAAATTGTGTGAGGCAAAAGAGGAGAAGCACCCAGCACTGCTGGAGGATGCAGCATTCAGTTTTGGTGCATTTCTTGTAGATCTTAAGACCATGCTTGATGAGGCTTTAATCAACCTGGTCTAGTGGGAGGTGTCCCTGCCAGTGGCAGGGAGGTTGGAACTGGATGGGCTTTAAAGTCCCTTCTAACCCAAACCGTTCTGTGACTGTGTAATCTTTGTAAGTTAGGCATCTAGAGGAGGTAATATAAAGCTTCCCATTTACATTTGGCAGCTGTGTCCCTTGACACGTAATCTTTTGTGAATAAGATCGCATTGTGTTATGAAACCGTAACACTACTAAGTTGACTCTTGTAAATGATGAGCCTAACTTGGAAGATAATCAACTCTTGGTCATAAAATACGATCATGTAAAGGCAAAGGACGAATTTATGCTTTGCTATACAAAGAACTGGGACTACAGGTATAAGATATAATATATTTTAAGAGACTCTTGCATGCTATGAAGATGTCTTCATAGCAGAGAATCCCAACCGTCAAGTCACTGCATCAATATTGTGTAGGCTTTTATTCAGATAACGGAAAAATAAAGGCACAATGCATGGGTCTGCTGTAATGCCAGAAGAACAACATTTTTATGCATTTTCTGCCTTTATTTGTAAGGGATCATGGTCACACAATCAGAGAATTCAGATACAGGTACAAAATCTATCATGGCTCTAACCCACTCTCATCTCTGAAATGGGGGTAACTATATCTGTCACCCACCACTGGGAAGCACTTCATAAATACATCTTCAGATTGTTCATTATGAAGATGAGTTATTGACTTCTCTGTCCAGTCAGTACATCTTAGAAAACAGATGTGGACAGGATCTCACAAGGTCATCCTTTACAGCGCTGAGATCTGTGTTAGGTGCTAAGCAAAATTCATATTATCAAAAAAGTAGCAAAACTTCTATAGCTCAGTATTTGCATTTGATATTTATTTATTTACAAACCCACAGTTTCTTTCCATTATGATTTAAAAGTGCGGCTTTCTGACAAGAAGCAATTCCGATCCTTCAATTGACTTATGGTCAAATACAGTTCCTAGTGGTTCTTGGCAGCTGGGAATGTTGAGCTCCTATAAGCAGACTGAAGTCAGAGACCTCATCTCTTATACGGTTTAGGAGAGTCTGTTTTATACTCCTCATACACACAGGAAGTATGGAATTTAAGAGGGAATTGCCATGGTAAATTAGTCGAGTCTACCCTCATTCTTGTGTCTGCTGCAAAATAAGGTGAAGTCATAAAAGAAGGAATTCTTTATCAAACTATCCCCACAACCCTGAATAAACAGAGATGTAAATGTGTGTGTTTTCAGGCAAGAAATTTTATATTCCTGTTGATATTTATCTGTTTGTTTTTTTCTGTAGGTTTTGTTGGCTTGTTTTGGTTTTTAATTAGTTATAGTTCTGGGTATTTCCAGGAAATTGAGTTAGTAGTTTTTGCCACTTACTAACTCAAAACTAATGTAGTTAATATCATTGTTACAGTTGCTTTTGTGATGGGAAGAGCTAGCTATATGGCAGACCTGAAAATGCCTGGCAAGGTGAGGTGCCTGAGAGAGAACCAAGGAAGCTGTAGGACTGTTTCTGTACTAGCCTTTAGCAGATTATTCTGCTTCTCCATTTGAGACATAAAAATAGTGATAGGGTTTGTCCTCCTCTGTGCCCTGCTCAGAAAGGGAAGGGTAAAGATTCAAAGTCAACAGAAAATGGGGTATTGGGTCTGATTCATGGCTACAGATGTAAGGGTCTATTTAAACTATGAATTTTGAACCAGAAGATGGTGATAATTGCAAAAGCAGCCTTCCTTCAGGCCTGACCTGAAAAGTTTTGCATCAGTTTCAATTAAACTACTAAAGCTGACTTTAATGTATTGTTAGTCAGAAAAGCAGTGGCCTCTGACAAAAATAAAGTGCATGCATCATAGAGAAACACCTGTTAAAAGTCTTAATTTGTCAAACTGGTAGAGGTTTAGTGAAAAGAAGTTGCATTTATTTGCTTTCACCTTCCTCTCATTCATTTGAATGGGGAAAAAAAAAACAAACAAAAAAACCCATGCCTAAAACCCTAAACAGTGCCATCATGCCGAACAACCACATACTTTGACCAGCACCTATGGGAATCAACACTGTATTTGACTAAATTCCGGGATTTGGGTGTCCCCCTTTCCACATTTAGCCCAAACAACTTGATCTTGCAGGTCCGTGCTCTCAAGCAGTTATGTGTGGCGCTGATCCAGAGTAAGTTTGTTAAATTCTAGAACAAAGATTCCCATTCAGAGAGGTGGTGTAACAAACACTGAAACAGTCTCAAGTTTCAGTGTGAGCAAGAAGTGCTTTTCAGTGGAAATTGGCAGAATTAAAATGCTGGAGTCATTAATTACAAGCCATATGTTGTGCACGGAAATCTTCCAGTCCTGCAGGAAGTACTCTGAGAAAGATCTTTGGTCTTTCTCTTTTCTTGTTAAAGTTCCTGGGACAGGTAATTTGTCGCCTTTATATGTTGTTTGTTCAGCAGATAATCCCTGCTGTGAGTTATTTTCCATGTGATAACTCTGTGCTGTCATCAAATACTGCTAAGTACTCTAATGCAGAAGGTGATTCAGGGGCTTTTCCTATTTCTAATAGCCAGGGAAAGGTGTTAAAGGGTTAAAAGTCTAGTTCACCTGAGGGGTAAAGGCTCGCTTTAGGGAAAAAGAAGATACTAAGGCTAAGGAGATGTTAAGCAGTGAATATCAGGAATGTGGTTGCCATGTTAAAGCAGTGTATTCTGGGAAAATGTGAAACATGAAGTTGCACCTCTTCATGGTTTACCTTTCAAGATGTAACTGCTGGATTAGTCTTACTTCAGAATAAGATGTTGAGCAGATGTTTTCTAATACAGACGTGCCCATATTATATCCGTAGCATCTTGTATTTGCCTAATAACTTCTCTATTTCTCTGCTGGATTGAAAAAAAATATTTCCCATTCCCCATAACTGTCCTGCTGGCAGATGTCCCATGTGCTTCTGGTCACAAAGGACTTGATTAGCCAAGACCCCAATGTTACAGTCTGTATATGCTTCGGCAAGAATGAATTTTTGAATGTTATCTTACATTGAATCTGCAGGTAATATCAGAAACACTGAGAAACTGAACTATGACAAACAGCACCAGTATGAGATAAAGGTAACAGCTTTTGACTGTGGGCAAAAACATGCAATGGAAGATGTCTTAGTACGAGTTAACGTCAAACCGGTGTGCAAACCAGGCTGGCAAGGTAAGATGTAGTAGTTTGTATGTTTTCATCTTTTTGTTCAAATCTCCTCTTTGGTGTTTTCCCTCTACCTCACAGTAAAGAAACAAGGGAGCTTACTGAAGTGGTGTCAAAAACTGTTGTTATTTCTTATTGCTTCATTCCAAGCATGCTAAAAAAGCAGATAATAATCCCATACTTGGCATTTGTCATGTTTCTTCTCTAGTCAGAACAAAGAACAGATGAGAAAAAAAATCTATCCTAATAGGCTATTTTACAGTTCAGTCTGAATATACTAAAAGGTTAAAAAAGTGCTTTTGATGTGCTTTTCTCCTACTACTCCTTTGAATAAAACTTTTGAAGCCACCATGACAAGGTGCTTTTCCCATGGGTGCCAGAGTTCTTGTTCCAGGTATGCAATTGGCATTCATGTGTATGCATGCATGAGTCAAAGCATGCTCGACTGGCAGCGGGAGTGAAAGGCATTTTTTATCCTGATTACTGTCTTCATATTGAACCATGTCACTGGGGATTGATTTTCTAAAAAGGGTGTGGGGATCTACAGTCTGCTCTGTCTAAACTTGAGAAAAACCCAGCTGGCAATGTACTAGGAAGTAAGATATGACACAAATTGTCAGGAATTAAGATGAAAATGAGGGCTGCATTAGTGACAAACCAAGTGGATGTAGCCACATTATGTGGATGTCAGTCAGGACTAACCTGATTTTCATAATTGTAAGTTTCGAAGAGAATGATTGAGAAGGAAAAAACCAGTTTGTGCTTGAAGTCAAATTTGCAGACTGATACTTAAAAGGAGAAAAATGTTTTCTTTGTAAAATGAGAAGCCCTGGTCTAGGGGATCTTTTAATGCACTCTGTGCAATATCATGATTCCATTTTCACAGTCCTCGCTTAGAGCTGAACCACATTTTAAATGTTCAGGGATGTACGAGTTCCCCACACACCAAGTATTTTGAAGAGCATTTTCATAAAAAAAAACAAAACAAAACAAAACAAAAAAACCAAACTAAATAAACAATAGAACACTTATGAACTATTTAACTATTTTCACATTTTCTAACTGATCTTTTCTAACCTGAAAAGATGTCATACACTTACCTTTAAGTCCTAGGAATCCATATACATACTTTACCTAATTACCTGAGGTAACAAAATAAAGTAGAAGTTTGAAAAATAAATCTTTTAAAAAAATGTTCCTTAAAAATTGTTACCTTCCACTTAGTGTATGCTTGAAAATAGTTTTGAAATAAATGCCTGTTATTTACCTAATAGATTTTAAAAATCCGTCATGAGATCAGTTTATGTATCAAAGATACTGCATGTTATTTCTTTTTCAAGGCATGTAGTGCTCACTAAGATGACCTAGGGTTTTGCTACCACCAAAAGGCACATTCTTACCACCTCTTTAATGTTGAATAGTCATTCAGAGGCCACATACAGGTCAGATCAGCTCA